TTCCAATCGCAGAATCTTACAATATTTAGCTAAATCTGTATCATTTCCCAACATGAGATATTCTTTAAGACAATAAAATAAGTGATCAATAGTAAAATCATGTTAATAAAGAAACATGTAGAAAATGAATGTTGATGGTTTCTGTTTCCTCAGTGGTCTGTGGGCCTCCTGGTTTGTCTGTCGATGCCCTCCTGGCATCCAACGTGACCTGGGCTGACAGTAACCTTTCCTCTTCAGATGTTTGCCACCCTCACCCCACCCTAATTGAATGGTAAGCATGCAACAAAACTTAGTTCTTACGTTTTAGTCACTGCCTAGCATAATTGTGTTATCTTTTGGATGTCTTTACCTCTTTTTTTTTAAACAGTAAGAACAATGAAACACTTGCTGTTCTCCTGGCTAATAGCTGCCCTCCAGAGCCTCAAACGACGACTATACAACTTCCCACCAGTGTTACTGCAGCGGAGTCTACACTCTCATCTGTAACCTACACAACTGAAGACATTCAGCCAAACCATAGACACACTACTACACACAATAGTACATGGCATGAAACAGAGCAGCGAGGCTTACAAACAAGCTCAAACAGTTTAACTGGGACTGCCTCAGATAAAATTGGGCTAACTGGAATTACAAGCACACCACCAGACAACAACTTAGCAGTGCAAAATGGTATAACTGCAACTAACAACCCAACAACACCAAACAATGGAATTGTTGGTAATGGTTCAGGTACAAGTACATTATCTTCCAGACACAAAACAACACACGACACAAAAACATCCGTAGCATTGTTGTTTTCTAATCCCTCATCAGTTTTCAACGTAACAACAGTTACATCTTCTCCACATCAGCCAACAGACTACAGTGCATTTACCATGGCCACCAATCACCATACAACACTCAGTGAAACAACAAGCAGCACCATTCAGCCAACAACCATCAGTGAAACAACAACTAGCATTACTTACCCAGTGATCAGTAAAACAACAACAAGCAACAGTCACCAAACAACAATAAGTGAAACTACAACTAGCAACATTCACACACAAACACCACAATCTAACAGTCAGCAACAGTTATACACCACCCAGTGAAACAACACCTATTAACGAAATCAAACAAAATGCTACAAGACCTGGCAACTTTACCACACTGACACGACAAGAAACTACACCCGGTATCATTCCCGCAACACACAATGCTACAAGACCCATAATAAACACAAATGACAACAAAATAGTGACAACACCCAGCAGTGCCAATGCAATTGAACACAATACAACACCCAGTTCTATTCACCCAACAATCAATAAAACAACACTTAGTACTTTTCACAGACATACATATGACACAAGACCTACCCCTACCCCTAACCCCAGTCACATGTTGGACATCCTAACAACATCCAGCAGAACTGAAGTGACTAAACACAATACAACGCCCACAAACATTAACACCAATGACAACATAACTGTTAACTTAACTGAAACAACAATGGACAACATGGCATCCAGCAACACCAATGCAATGGCGCACCATACAACAACACTCAGCAACATTTCCACACCGCCCAGTGAAACAACATCCAGTGCTATTCACACACATTCACATAACACAAAACCAGTCAGTTTTACCACACCAACACAAAATAAAACTCGTCCCAGTATCATTCACACAACCGACAATGCTACAACGCCTAACATCATCACCACAAATGACAATACAACTGTTCACCTAAGTCTCACACTGGACACTAAAACATCTAGCAATACCATTGAAACAACACCCAGAAATAGTGTTTCAGCAAAAGATAATGGTACAACAACAACCAGCATTATTTACACATCAATACTTAATGCTACAACTCCCAGTAGTTTCATAGCAACAACGCCCATTAAAACCTACACAACTGAACACAGTTTTACAAATGCAATTAAGAATTATACAACAATGCCCAACAAAACCCACTTAACTGATTATACTTTTACAACACCCAGAGACAATCGTACAAAAACATACAATGCAAACACTCCAAGTAGCATTACCACAACAGAATACAATTCTAGAACACACAGCATGAATTACACAGCAACAACTGCAGGTACAAATGACATTACAGCTACCAGTAACCATTACTTAACAGCAAAAAATACTACGACATCAAGCAAAAATTCCACAACAGTGTTCAATACGACCCTTAGCAACTTTGCAGCAACACATAATGAAACAATTACTTTTCATTTGCCAGTAGACACTGCTACCCCCACCCACCAAGGATTACACGGCAACAACTCCAAGTGAAATGTATTCAGTCACACAAAACTCTATGTCAACCAGCAACAGCAACACAACATCATTCAGTCCAACAGTTGCTAAAAACTATACAGCAACAAACAATGCTGCAACATCCAGCTTCAATCACACATCAGTAATGCTTAGTGCAACAACATCCAGCAACAATCACACAACATATAATGCAACACCGCCAAGCAGAAATTACACAACAGCAAATTACGACATTGCCAACAATTACACAGCAATGTACATTACAAGAACACCCACCAGCAATTCTAGAACAGCATATAACGTAACACTTGACAGCATTCACACAACACTGGCTGCAACAAATCCCAGCTACAATTACACATCAGTTGTACCAACAAGTTACAACGCTTCAGAAACTACCACAAATGATGCAGCAATACATAGAGCCACAACACCTAGCCGCAATCAAACAGCAAAGAACACTGCTACAACACCTAGAAACCCCCATACAAGCAACAATGCTTCAGTAACTAGCATCAATTATGTAGCAATATATAATGCTACAACACAGAGCAACAATCACCCAGCAGTGAACACTGCTACAACACCTAGCAACACCCTTGCAAGTTACAATGCTTCAGTAACTAGCATCAATTATGTAGCAATATATAATGCTACAACACAGAGCAACAATCACCCAGCAGTGAACACTGCTACAACACCTAGCAACACCCTTGCAAGTTACAATGCTTCAGTAACTAGCAACAGTTATGAAACAATACATAATTCCACAAAATCTAGAAACAACGAAACAGCAATGAACACTGCTACAACACCTAGAAACCCCCATACACATTACAATGCTTCAGTAACTAGCATCGATTATGCCGCAACACATAATGCCACAACATTTAGTAACAGTCAAACAAGCGGGTATCACGCCACAATGCCCAGTAACGATCACACAGTGCCAGTTGGCCTTAGTAATTATACAGCAACAAATGGTGTAGTTACCTCTTCCAACAATTACACAACATTAGTGACTAGGTCTCCAACTACGGCATCTCGAAATATGACCACTGCATTCAACACTAGCACTGAACCTACCCGAGAGCCACCACTGAATACTGTTGTTACCTCGAACGCAACAAACTCAACTGTGGAAACCATCATTTCTAATTCCACCCAGGCTTCACAAATAAACACCAGCTCTGTGATAGAGACCAGCTACATTAAAACAACCAAAGGACCAATCATCTCCTCAACAACAGACAATGCAATCCCTGATTTTGGTACAATTGCAGCTACTACAACACATGATGCAGCCAACAAAAACCTATCTACTACTACCACGTCTAAAATTTCAACCACAAAAGCTTTTCAATCTACCGGCCTCACCACTTCAACCTCTACGCTGGCCAGTAAGTTAAGTTCATGGATTTTATTTGTATTAGGCAGAGTTTTGTATGTGACAGAGAAAAGGAACAGAAATGCTTTCTGTTTTCTGGTTGACCTCTTTTTCAGGTACTGGAACAACTTCAGCAACGCTTTTCCAGACAACTGCAAGCCAACAAAATGAGGAAAAAGCAAATCAGCTATGGAATGAAACACAAAATGCGTCACAGCTTAACGCTTCTCAGGTGAAATTGCTACTGAACTTAAGGATTGGTATAGGTTAGTTTTTGTTTCATTTGCATCCATGCGTCTATAACTGGATGAGTGTTTCAGATGTCCCAACTGGTGGATGAAATGGAAAATCTCCTGGATGACTCCACTGTCTCTGAGTCAGTGGGACAAATGATCATCAACATTGTCAGCAAACTCATGGACAGTAACTCATCTGCTCTTTCTGGATCGGCTAATAGGTTTAACATCTCTAATGGATGGATAAATGGTAACATTAATGACAAATTAACTTAAAATAAATGTTTGTGTCTTGTTTCCTGTTTTCAGGCTGATCCGATTGGTGGAAAAGTTGGGTTTTAAGTTGCACGTTGGTGGTGACAGCAAGGTCCTCAACTCAACTTCACTGGTTCTAGCAGTCAGGACAGTGGATGGGACAAACTTTCAACAAACCTCTATGCACATTTATAACACTCACAATGTACAGGTAGCCCAGATAGCAGTTAGTTAATGTCTGTTAATCTGATTCAAAGCACTTTGAGCAAATATGCAAATACAACTTATATATATATATATATGTATATATATATATATATATATATATATATATATATATATATATATATAAGAGTGCCTACATTAAAAGTCTTGGTATGAAAGTATAAAGTGCCATATCTTAATTTTAATTAGTCAGTAACCTTCACCTTTCAACCTTTACTCATTTAAGCATTTTTTCCCTTCAGCTAAATGGTCCTGATGGATCTCGGCTCTTGTTGGATCTCAGGTCAAAAGGTCAGCCTTTGGGCTCGGTGAACCTACCCTCCTCTCTTACGAATGGTCTTAGTCCTCAAGAGAAGAAACGTGCCTGCAGAGTTCATTTCACTTTCTATACTAAAAACACACTGTTCCAGGTACATTCCTGCTGCTGCAAAGCAACTACTGGATTTATCGTTTCGGTTTTATATTTAAGCCAGCAGTTGTGACAAATAGGACAATGTGAAATAGATGTTTATTTAAATGTTTTTTTTAACTGCACCTCCAAATCTCCTACATTTTGCAGGATGCATCTTTAGACAACCAAACCTTTGTCAGTCCAGTGCTGGGCTCCAGTGTGGCCAACCTGTCAATCAGCCATCTGAGCGAAAAGATTGAGTTTACCATCACCAACATGAAGCCCATACATGTGAGTGTTACTGCAAAAGTGGATGTAGGTTCAACTTTGGTTTGACTGGTTTTAACCCTCTCAGGCTCAAAATGAGTTTCGATAAAAGGATGAACAGCTAAGTCCTTCAGGGGTACTTCTGAGTAAAAAAATGCTCATGAAATACATATGTGGAGTAACCAGGTAGGTAGGTTGCAAATCTGCAATGCCTGCCTCCATAGGGTTAAATAGGTTTGACATATTAGGGATAGTTTATTCTTTTTTTTTTTTGCACTAATTGTGAATCTGAAGTTAAATCCGTAACATATTTAAAAAATTTAGCCAAAATAACCAAATAATACAACTGTAATGATGTTAATTTACATCTAATTAAGGACCGTGAGACATTAAGATTGCATATCGAGTATGAAATCAATCTTACGGACCTCTGAGTTATTTAACCAGAAGATTGGAACTTTTTAATGTAGGGATTTGTAACACTTTGTATTAACTGAGAGACAAGAGAAGAGAGAGTCCTTTACACGTTTAAGATGATTTATTACTAAATAATTTTTTATCAATTTAAACAATACTAGCTCGCTGATGATGGATGTATCTGTTTGAGTGAGATGTGAGATGGGTGTTGTGTGTGAGTCGTGTTAATCAGAACTCTCGTATCCAGAGAAGCAAATCTGAGTGAGATATGATGTTTTGCTCCTAACTATGATCAGAGTTTGATCGGAGTAGTTTCATAAACACATGAGACGCCATATTTGTCGCATCCGCACATACCCTGAGACGAGACCTCCTTACAGATCCAGAATGTCAGGTCCTCGGACCCTCCGTTGGTACAGGAGCCGATGAAACAGCGTCTACAGCACCACAAACTAGTCTTTGGATTGTCTCTAGGTAAAAAGCGACAGGTGGTTCACAGCATCAACAGGGACCCTCCTTGGGTCAGTGAGTTCAGCTTTTATTCTGAAAGGAACCATTGCGTGGTTGGTTAAATGCAACAGATTTTTCCAGCTTGGTGGTTCTCAGCTTAAAAAGGAAGTTCGGATGGCCGGTCCGATACTCCTCTTAGCATGCGGTGAACTCCAGTGAGATCTTGAGAACTGAACTAAGATGGCGTTGGAACTGGTTTTATTAATCTGGATGTTTTCAATTCTGGTCGAGTCAAAGCTGGCAGATTTATAAACACCAGAGACTATGCCACGCTTCAGACTAGGAAGCTTCTGATTGGATCAGTAACAGCAATGTTTCAGAGTGGTTTGCCTTACGTGTATCAGTGTGTCTTGTGAACTAGATTAAGTCATTTACCTATTAAAACATCTTAATCATAACATTGCTGTTTCACAGATCGCTCAACATTATATTATTGACTATGTAGTGTTAAAGAGTTACAATGTAATTAATGACAATAGACATTAAAGATCCATATCGAGTATGGATCCCATCTAATGGACACTGGGTTATTTAAATCAGAAGAGTGGTTCTTTTTATTACAGGGAAATTAAATAAACACTTTGCATGAACTGAGAGACAAGAAAAGAGCGAGAGACTTCCAAACATTTAAGAAAATTTATTATCTAAATGATTTTAAACAGTTAAACAAAACTAACTCTCTAATGATGGATGTTTGTGGAAAGAAATGTAAGGTGAAGTGTGTGTTGGTGCGATGTCAGTTCAGAACCTCCTTTCTGGAGAAGCGAGTCTGAGTGGGACATGATGTTTTGCTCCTAACTGATCAACGTTTGAACCGTGGTCAAACATGAGACGCCATTTGTCGCATCCACATACCCTTCAGTGAGACTCCCGTACAGATCAGGATGCCAGGTTCACGACCTTCCACTGGTACTGGAGCCGATGAAACAGCGTCGACAGCACGACAAACCAGTCTTTGGATAGTCTCCAGGTAAAAAGCGACAGGTGTTTCACAGCGTCAAAGTGGACCCTCCTTGGGTCAGCGGGTTCAGCTTTTATTCTGAAGGAACCGTTGTTTTGTTGATAACGGCAGGATTTCCCAGCTTGGCAGTTCTTAGCTTAAAAAGGGAAGTATAGATGGCCTGTCCATACTTCACTTAGCATGCGAGTGGAGGATAGATGATTTATGTGGTTGTCCTTTATTCTTTTTTTTTTTTTTTACGTGTCCTGTCTGGCTGTGAAGCAAGCAGAATTGATGTCTGAATGCTGGTGACAAGCCTTACAGATTTACTCTCAGGTGGAGCATCAAAGCATTTGCTTTTAATGTCACGCCTGATACTTAAAACTTTATTGTTATTGTTGTTGTTGTTTGCTTTGTAATTCCGACCAGACACGTGTCTGCTTGTCCTTTATTCTAAGGAAAATTAAATATGAGCATAAATTGTAAAAAGATGTTTTTTCCCATATGGTTTGGTGGTTTTTGGTGACTTATACCATTTCATTTGTTTAAATGTGGTTTTGTGTTACATTTAGTAAGCAAGTAAAATGACTTGTATAAAGGGGTAGGGACATATGAGTTTCGACTTCGGCCTACTCCTTTTCAGACAGAGAAGATGAAAAAATGGGACGATGATATGTATTGTTTTTGTTTTTTTCTGTGTGTTTTCTTTGTTTGAAATTAAAAGAGAGAAAAAACTCTCTTTCTTCACATTTTTAATCACAATTGTCTATATTTGCTCATTTTAAACATGATTGTAATACTTTTCTAAATTCTTTTTTATATTTTTACATTTTTGTTTTTGTGAAGCGCCTCGTGATTTTTGTCTTGAGAGGCGCTATAGAAATGATACTTTCTTCTTCTTCTTCTTGTCACGCCCGATCATTGATGTGTAAACCAAAATGGGTTAGATATTAACTTTTACACAAAAAGCATCTGTAACCCAAAATCCCCTGAAGGCACAATAAGTATGAGTCTCATGTTGGAAGGAAGGAAACATGGAAACCGATGTCCTTCTCAGCTGGTTTTTAAAAAATGTGCTGTAGTACCGAAATTTGACCACAGGATGATGCCCTTATGTGATTCTTACAAAATGCACCTTTAAAGTTTGGTTTAGAAGAGAAAGAACAAAAGAAACATTTTTCATATACCAAGAATAATAAAAATAATTAAAAGCATATTACAAAAGATCATATTATAAAAACGAATTGTCAAACACCTTGAAAAGACACCAAAAAGACAAAAAAAAAACAGTTTATACTTAATTAATCTGGCTAAGTCTTTCATTCCTCACCACACACATATAAACTAATACAACGCTACAGCTGCTAAAATAAATCCTTTCTTGGAACGCCCGTATGTCCAATCAGTAAATCTAAACTTTTTTTTCTGTTTTTATAGGCAACTAATATGTCCTGTGTGTTTTGGGATTTCAAGCTGAATGGTGAGAACAGACATGCTTTTCTTAGGAGAGAATTTAGACATTTTAGTCTCCAAACAAATTTCATTTTTTGTGTTTAGGTGGTGGAGGAGGCTGGAGTTCTGATGGCTGCTCCGTTGTCAATTTCACTTCTGATCACACAACCTGCAACTGCGACCATCTGACATCGTTTGCGATACTGCTGGTATTTGTTTGCATGTTTATGCCTCTTATTCTACAATAAAAGCATCCGCGCATTTAGTCTCCTAATCAGAGGAAGTAAAACTAGCTAAATGCTCACCTTGTGTGTGCGTGTCTCTCTCACCACAGGATTTATCCAGGCAAGGACTAACTGACCCTAAGCAGGCACAGATCCTAACTTTCATCACCTACATTGGCTGTGGAATTTCTTCTATTTTTCTAGCTGTCACCATAGCGACACATCTGCTTTTTAGGTAAGAACTCAAGCTGTTACCCTGTTTATACCTCACCAACTCAAGCCTTCTGCATTCTAATGAATTGTGTCTTTGCAGAAAACTGATGCGGGATATCCCTTCCAAAATCCTGGTTCAGCTCTGTCTGGCCCTCCTTTTACTGAACCTAGTCTTCCTCTTGGATAGCTGGCTATCCATGTACAAAGCTGTAGGTCTGTGCATCAGCACAGCCTTCTTCCTGCACTACTTCCTTCTGAGCTCATTCACCTGGGTGGGGCTTGAGGCATTGCACATGTACCTGAGCATCGTACAAGTGTTCACCCCCTACCTGAGCAGTTACATGCTGAAGTTCTCACTCATGGGCTGGGGTAGGAGCCTTCCAAAAGGAGCAGTAACATTTTAATAATCCTTCTCTCTGTCTGAATAATTGATCAGTGCCTTTTTACTGATTGTCCTTTACAGGCATCCCTCTTATTGTGGTGATTATTGTCATTGCGGTAGACAAAGACAACTACGGTCTGGTTACTTATGGAAAGTACACAGATGGAAGCACAGATGACTTGTAAGTTTGGTGTTTCTGTGCGTTAACCTAAAAACTGCAATATTTTCTAACTGAACGAAACAGGAAAGATCACGTTTTAAACCAAGGTTTCCATTATGTAAAGGCTTTTAACAGAAAGGGGCACTGCTGGTTAAAAAAACACAAGATAACCCAGACTATAAGTCCTATTCAGGCCAAACGTTAAACAACTGAAAATAACCCTTCTGAGAGAAACACCAAATATTTGGCTTGAGGTAAATTCAACACACAGGAAACAAGAAAAACAAACAGCTGAATCAACAAGAGATGTTCTAACCTAAAATTTTTCTTTATAAAGAGATACTTTGCAACTTTTTCATATTTTTAAAACATTTTCTTTAGCCAGTATGTGCTAAAGTGACCCATACAGGGTTAATGAAATGTCACTCCGACCCCCACCTCCCCCTGTGGCCAGAATATTGCACTTGCAACTTCGGTGTAGCGGGCTGCCACCTTTTAACTATGAAAAAAGTGAAGCTGACATACCTGGCGCTGCAGTCTGGTTGAACACATGTGGTGGATAATGAAGAAAGCAGATTTGTGTGATTTAGTGATGAATCACTTCTGTAGACTCTAATGATGGCTGGAGAGTTAAATGAAGCTGTTAAAAAGACCAATGCACATTTAGGAGATACGTTTCATTTTCAGTTTCACCACATAAAATAATAACGGACATTAGGAGGTTCTAAAAGCAAGCAACACTTCTTAATATCACTTTGGTAAATGGTAAACGGCCTGTGTTTGATACAGCGCCTTCTAGAGTCCTGGAACTCCCCAAGGTGCTTTACAAAACAATCAGTCAATCACCCATTCACACACACATTCACACACTGGTGGGGATGAGCTACGATGTAGCGCACTGGCAAAGGCGAGGCTGCCGAGCACTGGCGCCATCAGTCCCTCCGACCACCACCAGCAGGCAACGTGGGTTAAGTGTCTTGTCCAAGGACACAACGACAGCGACAGACTGAGTGGGGCTCGAACCTGCAACCTTCCAATTACAGGGCGAGCACTTAACTCCTGTGCCACCGTCGCCCCAAACTTTGACTCAAACAAGGCAGTCAAAACAAAAATGTAACACAGTTAACCAGGCTGGCTTCGGCTATGCCTTTAAACAATAAGCACCAACTCTAGTAAACAAACTAAAAAAGAATTAAAATCCAACACCCACATTAATTCAGTGTTTTTAAAACTTCACCAAAGCTGTTTAACTTGCACCACAATGGTTCTTCTATCTAAACAACAGCTCGAAAGCATTAGCTTAATAAATACACACGTTCTATGAAAATCCACCGGCTGCTAAACTAGGGGACAACAGCACAAATCTATGCCCCCTTTGCAACATACAGCTTCAGCCTTTTATAAACTTTGCGTTCACTTGGCTGATGGGATGTAGCTGTGGTGCTTGTCTTCTGGAGAGAGGAGGAGCGGTATCGCTGGGTGCCTCTCTCCAAGGTCCTGAACTGGGGAAGGAAGCCAGGATCAGCACTTCCGGTGATGCTGAAGCAGAAGATGGGCAGCTCCAGTTGTCGCTGTCCGTGGTGCTGATCAGTCGCTCCCCAAAGGAAAGACGGAGGCTGTAACATAATCTCATTACATGAGATAGACTTAAACAGCCGATATTTTAAAAGTAATATACGTCAGGTAAGCCAGTGCACTGAGGACACGTGCTCAGTTAAACAGGTTCTTTACTAACATTAAAAACCACCTATAAAGAAAGTTGAAATTGAATTGCTTGATGTGGAGCATCTATTAGCATTGACTCTCAGCTAGAGTTTAGCAACAATGTTGTGTGAAGTCTTTTGTTTAGAGTGTTGTTAATAACATGGTGGCGCAGTGGTTAGCACTGTTGCCTCGCAGCACGAAGGTCGCAGGTTCAAAACTCGCCTTTCTGCGTGGAGTTGCGTGTTCTCCCCATGCATGCGTGGGTTTTCTCCGGGTACTCTGGTTTCCCCCACAGATCACAACATGCCCTATAGGTTAAAAAATAATTGTAAGTCGCTTTGGGTAAAAGCGTCCGCTAAGCACATAAACGTATAAACGTAAACGTAATAACGCATAGCTGCTACCACACCAATTGTAGCTCAATATCTATAAGAGTGACGGACTTTTAGCCATTCATGCGTTACTTTTCACAGACAAGGTTTACTTCATGGTAAAGTCTAAATGTGGTGCAAAATGAGATGAAAATATATCCTAGTATTTGTAAATTTGACAAAGTTGTATCTATTTGTGAGTTGCTGAAGTTGAATGTATGTGGCAGCCATCTTGAATCAGATAGACACAGGGCACCAAACGTCCTATGCTGTTATCACTTAAAAAAGGTTTATCATCTCAGTGTTTATTTTCTATTGTTAAAGAAGTGTTCCGCCTTTCTACTGTCGCCCAATAGCTGTTGGCTGCGTAATAACATCTCCTTCTACGTGGGCGTGGTCACCTACTTCCTCCTGATCTTCATTCTGTGCCTGATAGTCTTCATCACGGTGATGGTCCAGCTGAACCGGATCAAGAAGCAAAACCCACACAACCAGTCTCCCAACAGGGGGGCGATGACGGACCTACGCAGCATCTTGGGCCTCGTCATCCTGCTCGGACTCACCTGGGGGTTTGCTCTGTTCGCCTGGGGGGACCTCTACCTGCCCTTTGTTTACCTTTTCTCCATATTTAATTCTCTGCAAGGTGAGACCTGCCTAAAAAGATAGCACCTTCACAATAGAACAATTTATGTAATTAAAATAAACTTAAAATTTTCTCTGTCTTGTGCAGGTTTCTTTGTGTTTGTGTTCCACTGTGCTGTGAAGGAAAGCGTCCGCAGGCAGTGGAGAACGCATCTCTGCTGTGGAAAACTGCGACTGGCTGAAAACTCAGGTGGGCTACCTGGTTAAGGTCATTTTCCACTAAAAGTGTTTTTGAAAACTCACTCATTGGTCGATATCCTGCTACCAGGTGGGTAGGTAAATCAGGTAATTTAGAATTGAAACATGCCAGAAATACTTTATGCAATAATTTATTTAAAAGTCAGAAATTGGCCAGTTGGCTAGACATGAGTGATCACGCCAGAAGACTTCTTGCTGCCTCGACAGACTTTGAGTGTTTTGAGTGGCGCCACCTGCCGAGCAAGAGTTGATAGAGAAAGACCAACATATCCTGTGCAGATCAGCTCTGTGGGATTCTGCAGCACCTCTTCAACCTCAGCCTGGCCCAGGAGAAGGTTCCAGTCCTGTGGAAGACATCCTGCCTTGTTCCAGTTCCAAAGAAAACTCACCCATCAGTCAATGACGACTACAGACCGGTTGCCCTGACATCCCACATCATGAAGGTCCTGGAGAGACTCCCATTGGTCCACCTGAATAAGCAAACTAGAACATATCAGGACCCGCTGCAGTTTGCTTATCACCATGGAGTTGGAGTTGAAGATGCCATCATCCAGCTGCTTCAACCAACCCACTGTCATCTGGACAAAGCAGGCAGCACTGTCAGGGTCATGTTCTTTGATGTCTCCAGTGCATTTAACACAATCCAGCCTGATGTACTTTACCAGAAACTCCAGAAGACACAGGTGGGGACCTCAACTATCGCCTGGATTAAAGACTACCTGACAAACAGACCACAGTTTGTGAGGCTGAAGAACTGCACATAAAACCAGGCGATCAGTAACATTGGAGCACCACAGGGGACTGTACTCTCACCATTCCTTTTCACCCTGTACACCTCAGACTTCCAGTACAAATCAGAGACCTGTCATCTACAGAAACACTCAGATGACTCTGCAGTTGTCGGGTGTATCAGAGATGGACAGGAAGCTGAGTACAGAGAGCTGGTGGAGCACTTTGTGGCATGGTGTGGAAACAATCATCTGACCTTGAATGTGAACAAAACAAAGGAGATGATTTTAGACTTCAGAAGAAACAGGGTGGAGTCAAACACTGTTTCCATCATGGGAGAAGAAGTGGAGGTGGTTGAGGAATACAAATACCTTGGAGTTCACCTGGACAACAGACTGGACTGGAGAAAGAACAGCGAAGCCGTTAACAAGAAGGGACACAGCAGACTGCACTTCTTGAGGACGCTTAGGTCCTTCAATGTCTGTGGCAAGATGCTGCAGATCTTCTACAAGTCTGTTGTTGAGAGTGTAATCTCTTCAGCCATCGTCTGTTGGGGTAGCAGCATCAGAAGGAGTGACCTAAAAAGGCTCAACAGCCTAATAAAAAAGGCTGGTTCTGTTCTGGGGACGACTGTGGAACCGCTGGAGGAGATAATGCAAAGAAGGATTCTCCAGAGAATCAAGAAAATGATGGACAACCCTGAGCGTTCTCTTCACAAGACTGTCCGACAACGGAAGAGTGTCTTCAGTCAGAGGCTTCTTCAGTTTGGCTGCAACACTGACCGCTACTGGAGATCCTTCCTGCCAACAGCCATTGTAATATACAACAACTCCTTGATGACTTGATTATTATTGTTATTCTGAGCTACTACAGCAATCAATTTCCCTCTGGGATTAATAAAGTATTTTTGAATTGAATTGAATTGAATTGTTTATTCAAACAATCACAGAAGTCAGTTTGTTTTTTGGTTTATTTTGCAGACTGGAGTCGAACGGCTACTCAAAACATTAAGAATGCCATCGCCTCGGCGCCCCACTTCTCCGCCTGTAGCCTCTCTCCTGACCACAGCAGGACCAACAGCCGCGGTACACGTATCATCATTTCACCACCTCTGTGCTCCAGCTGAATCCTGCTTAGCATCCTTACTCTTTGTTTCTTTTAGGTTCTGGATTTTGGGACAGCGGAATATCTGACCGCTCCAACAATAACATCTCTTTCAACGGGAGTCACAGGCAACATCTGTCTCGATGAGTTTCGTGATCCAGCACTTGTAATTTCCTGAGAGAAGATCATAGATGCATCTAGAAATAACTTATTGTTGCTCAGTAAGGAGGTTTTCAAATGTAAAGAAACAAGTTTTCAAAGTAGAGCTTGACTGACGTTCCTAAAAATATCTGTCCTGTGAACATTTTTTCATAAAGGATGCATATTTATAAGGACAGAAAAATTATTTCACTGTTTTAGCAGCTTTTAACATCATACATGTGTTTTTAAAAGCTATTACAAGTAAAGGCAATTATTTCAGGTATTATCTATAAAGAAAGGACAAAAATCTGGATTTAAATGGAACGTAAAGCTTTGTAAGAGCGTTTATTTACAGTATTGTGATTTTTTTAACAAGGTGCATTAGTTTTACTACCATGAAAAAACTAACAAGAAGCTAATATTGATAAAAAGAGCTGAACTGAACCCTATATGTGCTCCTAAATCTGAAGATGTTCGAGGGTTCTGGGTGGGATTTTACTCAATAAATTAGGTGTTATCTTTGGCCATTCCTGTAGCAGAGCCCAACAGAAATACTCAAAACTTCCTGCTGTCCTTCACAATAAGAGTCTCATCTATGAACTGAAGCTTATGTGTTCACAATCATTCACCAGTAAAACCCAGATAGTTCCTGGGCTTTTTCATTGTTGAAATGGTTTATAGAAACTTTGTCTTTGGTGGTATTTTATTTTATCTTTGCACGATCCATATATGCTGATGTAGTTTTGATGTACGTACTTTTGATAAATATACGTAAAACAGATAATATTTTAACATGTACACAAGTAGCCGGATAACCCTGAAAACAGATTTTTTTAAGGTTTGTGTCTTCCACACAGTGAAGATAAATAATAAACACTGAGCAAAGTGGAGATTTGTAAATTCTCAGTTGTCAACATTTGTTTGTGGATATAAATAACCAGGATTTTAGGTTTCGTCACGGCCTGCAGCAAAAGTTCTCTGACATCACATATGTAGTTTGCATCCAAGCTGCTCTATGTGGAAGACTTCAGGCGACGGACAACAGAAGAATGGTTGGCCCGATCTCAATACTCACACTTCCACACTCGCGCATTTTAATTTCGTGATCCCAACCAGAGGTGCGAGTGCGTAGGGTGTTCCTATTCTCAAGTGCGGAAGTTGATCACACCCCTTTTGTGCCCCTGATAATACCCTTCACCCAAGTCTGCATCACTGCAGACTTGGGTGAAGGGTATTACCCACAATCCATTGCTGCGATAGAAAAAGGCTTAAGTTCCTTTTCTGAAAATATGTATTTTCTAATGAAAATTCAATTTAGCATGATCATTTGATGCTCTAAAACTTTTAGACAAAGCAGCAATAAATGTTAATTTCAAATAATTGTTTGAAAATTGTTAATACATTTTTTTTAAAGTATCACAGCGTCAAGCATCCTGGCATGCGTTGCAGAAGTTGGTTACCAAAATAAATGCTCGATCTCGCTAACTTCTTTATAAACTCTTGCTCTGAACCAGAACTTGTTTTATCTCCGGTTCTATTCTCCTGAACATGTCCAAAGTGTTGGCTGAAGAAGAATAGAACCGGAGATAAAACAAGTTCTGGTTCGGAGCAAGAGTTTATAAAGAAGTTAGCGAGATCCAGCTTTTATTTTGGTAACCAGCTTCCATTTATTGGAAAGCGAATTTGCATATTAGCTAAATGTTTAAGTAACAGCAAAATATTTATTTTCCACAATGTTATTTAGCCCCACACTATATTTTATATTTTTGGGTCGGACTTAAACATTTATTTCTTAAATACTGATTTTGCAAACTAAATGTTTAGCTCCAAAATAAATATTTAGCTGGGATCTAAAAATTTATTTTCCGGAAAATAAATATTTAATTTACAAATTAAATATTTAGTTCCAAAATAAATATTTAATTAGTAAATTAAATATTTAGTTAGTGAATTGAATATTTATTTTACAAACTAAATATTTAGGTCAGACCTAAATATTTAGTTTGCAAAATAAATATTTAACTACAAATTAAATATTTAGCTTGCTAATGAAATATTTATTTGGAAACTTTAACAGTTATAAATGTATGAATAACATGGTGAAAATATGACTTCGAAAAAGTGAACTCCCAATTTTTTCTCTTATGAGATGCTAAATAACCAAAAATATTGCCGTTCGATTATGACTGTTTGACTTTAGAAATGGCACCCCATAGTGCTCCCCGTCTCATTTCTGCAATTATTTGCACACTTGTGCACTACGCACTCGAAGCCTTACAGCGCACTTTCTCCAAGTGCACTTTGCTGAAGACCGCAGAGCAAGTATTGAGAATTGGGCCGTTATTTCCCACCATGTTTTTCAGCAAAGACACTGAAGATTTGGGGAACTACTGCCACTTACAGGCGTGCCGTGCCTATGAACGTGCTTCACAATGCAGCCTTTTGTTGTTGTTTTTTGTTTTGTTTTGTTTTGCTGAAACTGAGGTGGAGTGGATCTAGATATTTTTACTAGATAGGCAGGAGAAAATGTTCAGTTTTATAACAACCAGGTTATGTGTCATCATGGCCTCGTTTAATAAGATGACCCTTTTAAGGTGGATTCTCAGCTTTTAATTCTAAGGTGGTCTCTGCCAAAACATGCAAATGCCAAACTCCATTAATCTTAATGCAAAAACTTAAAATTCATTAAAATTTTCTGATTACATTTAAAGAGCGTTTGAAGGGGAATATAAAAGTGTTTTTACACAAAGCATTACATCTTAGTTCTGATGCAGGAGAAGCATAAATGACGTTCATTAGTTGATTTATTTTCTTTGTAATGAGAACAGACTTTGCTAAATGTCCTTCTCCAAGAGCGTGAACACTTGAAGTGAATAAAACTTCAACTCTTAAACTTCCTGTTTGGTTTTTTGCATCCAGTTCACTAAATGATGTTAGATTTTGTAATAAAACTGTTTTAAAAGGAAGAACAGCAGCTGTGCTCCCTGATGACTCCCATCTCATCAGCATGTTATTGAATCTCCAGCCCGAGCTCCAAGAACTGGTCAAATCACCGCCCCGTCAAGGTCGGCAGCAGCTGGCAGTTAGGTTTCACATGAAAGTAAATCTCCCCGCAGCGTGACCTCTAAGGTTAACCTCACAACGGAGTAACACTGCATGAATACATGCAAGGTAGAAATGTTACAGTGAAGAACAGGCGTTTGTTCTAGACTTGGAAATGCCCGGTGGCGCAGCACGCTTCATTCCTCCTGAGGTTTGAGTTTTAGACATCCCTGAAGTTAAGGTGATTCATTACTTTGTTCCAAAAACGTTCCTAACTTGTTGCTTCAAATCTAAAAGAGCTCTGCTGGAACCACAGCCAGATTATTTAGTTATAGTTGCACAGAAAATGTAAACGCCTGAACAGACGTCGTCAAACTAAACTGCAGAATGTCTTAAAAACTTTTACAAAAACTCAGAGGGAGCGACTTTCAGCTGAAGTTGGTCTCAGTTTACCAGTCCGTCTACAGTCCAGCCCTCCCCATGGTCTCAAGATTAGGATTATAACCAAATAAAACACAATCCTGGAAGCAAGGGGCTGAAATCATCTTCCTCTGGAGGCTGGACTCAGCAATCCGAGGGAACTCGGCAGCTCCTCTTGTGGAAATCTCAATAAATGTCCAGACCAAGCAGGGTTTCTGGTCCTTGGTCTGCCCTATATGTAACTGAGCAGAACCTCCCTGAACCGTCTACAGGTGGTTCAGAACGCCTGTGCTCGGCTTCTGACCAAGTCCTCCAAACACACCCACATCACCTCGCTTCTCCTCCAGCTTCACTGGCTGCCAGTCAACTTCAGGGTTCATTTCAAGATCCTGGTTCTGGTCTATAGGGCCTTACATGGACAAGCACCATCTTACATTGGTGATCTTCTTAGTCCCTACACCCCCAGCAGGTCCCTGAGGTCCAGTGATCAAAGTCTACTGGTTGTGCAGCACCAGGCTAAAGACCAAAGGTGACAGATCATTTGCTGCTGTGGCCCCCAGACTCTGGACCTCTCTCCCCCTGAACCTGAGATCAGTGGACTCAGTGGTCTCCTTTAAAAAGCAGCTGAAGACTCACTACTTGTTCAGGCTGGCTTTTGTATGACCTTCTTCACCTCTCTCTCTTTATTCTGCTCTCCCCACCTATTCCACCTTCCTCAGGATCCACTGGTTTCCCTCTTTCCTGTTCACTCTCTCTCTCTTTCTTAACATTTTTTTCTTTTCAATCGCAATTGCTTATTCTTGCTCATTTTAAATATATTTTTAAACATTTTCAAAATGCTTTTTTTTGTATTTTTACAATTTTTATATTTTTAGTTTTGTTTTTGTGAAGCGCCTCGTGATTTTTATCTTGAGAGGCGCTATAGAAATGATATTTTCTTCTTCTTCTTCTATAGGTCTCAGTGTTTGACAAGGATTTAAACCTGCTTTTTCACATTTTCTTTACTTTGTCACAACCTCTTCTTTTCCCTCCTGTGTTTTATTTCCCTTAAATAATCTGAAAACTTTACAGTCTCCAGCAGATGTCAGTGCAGTCTCACATCTTTACTTTATTTCATCTTCTCCTCAGTTACAGGCTTCCTGGAAGAGGTTTTGCAGCAAGACATTAACAAATGCAGCTGGGACATTACAAGCAAACATGCAGCATTGAAGCTGGAAATGCTGACATGATGATTCCGTCAGATTAGGATGTGTGCAGAATTATTTAGCTCTCTGGGTTTAATTTACTCACAGATTGCCCTAACTAATCACACGTTGCTCCACAAGGGGCAGCTTCCTGTTAGGAAGTTTAATCAGACTTGAAGGTTGAAGTTTGAGCACACATGTGCAGAACTGCTTTTACAACCTGATTAATGACAGCAGTGTGGGAATGAGCAAAATAAGTCAAATAGAAAAAAGTTTGTTTTTTTCCAGTGTTTAATTTCAAGAAAAATATGCAAAATAATCCTATAAATTAGCTTTTTGCAGAAACAATGCTTTGCAACATGTCTTTGTTAGGTATCTGAGGTCCGATGAGTCTTTTTAGGAGCTGTGGAGCGCTGGTCTTATTCCTCCACTCAGCTCACGGTCCAGAAAAAGTGAAATGTAAAAGCAGAATTTATCGGATTTTCCTTCTGAACATTTGTTTGTAGAAAAGCAGCTTGTATTTACAGCTGAGGCGCTAATCGCTTTCACCTCAGCAGGTGTTTGTTGTTCCCTCTGATTTTGCACCTGACTGGAAAACTCTAAACTTCATTGGCTTCAACACATCCTTCCTCAGCGATGCACTTACAGCGGCACTGTGGATGGATTCTACCTCCTGGAGGAGGGAAGATGTAAGCACTTTTAAAGCTCAACTGGTTTCAGAGATTAAAGCAGATATTTCAGCCCACTGGCTGCAGATTGAATTACCTCTGACAACTCAATTTGCACAACGAGCTCTGCAGGTAGGAGCTGTACTTGTTTCTAAATGGGAAATGAAAATCAGTTTATTGTAACAGTATTAGCTGTCAGAAATGAAGCTCTGACCAGCCGACGTGTGAATAACCAGGGCTGTTGTGGTTTTTGTCGTTTCATCAGGAACTTTTCCCCCAACATGCGGTGTTTTAGCAAAGCTATGAAGGAATGGTGTGTGGATCTACAATTTCTTCTTGGTTAAAGAACAAAACCAGCGTGTGTTTTGTTTCTCATCGGTGAAGCTTTCTTGGTCTAAACAGCAAAATGAAAGGAGATTTTACGCAGCAGTGAGCCAGTTTAGAAATCACTCCCATGATGCTTCTCCCTGAGGGTCATTAGGGTTCACATGTAAAATGTTGTGATCACATTCATGAAGGTGTGAATTGCTGTGAGACAGGATTGTAGGTGTTGGAAATGTGAATTCTCAGAACTCCTCCTACCTTTTCTCCCTCATTTCACAAAAATGGTGTCTTGTACTTCTTTAATGTCTGTCTTTTTGCCTGAAACATGACCATTCCCGTCCTTGAAAAGTAAATGGGCTGCAGAGTCTTAAGCTGAACAGCTAGCTCCCCTGTTTTCTGGTGCTTGTGATGGTTGGTGGCAGGGGTGAATTTAGGCCCGGCTACTTGGGCTCAAGCCCCGAATGTTTTATGAAAAGCCCCGGATCTAAATCGTGGAAGTAACATGCAGTACCAAAGTCCAACAGAGAGGGAGCAGCTGGCAGTAGTTTGTATGCAGCCTGCCTGAGCCTCCACCACTGAAGAAGAAGCCCTTCAGCAGCTGGCTTCTTCTGCACTCTCTGCCTGAAACGCAAATGTAAAGATGGACATAAGGATGTTTTTGAGACCAAAAGTACTGCGACAGAACCCCAGCTTTGATGAGACTGGTGTTGACTCAGGTTTGTGAGTCTCATTTGAAAACACTAACAGGAACAATACTCTGCTCTGAATATGCTTAATATGTAGCTTCAGATTAAAAATTATGTGGTACAAGACAAATATATATGATGTTGACTAGTGCATGTCACGTGTGTGTGTGTGTGCGTGTGCGCGTGTGTTAAGCCCCGGATCTTCTTCAGTCCTAAATCCGCCCCTGGTTGGTGGTGGTTCTGGAGCAACTTTGGAGGTGGGGCAGGCTGGAGCTGTTCGCTGTCAGAGGCAAACTCGTATGAAAATAGCACAAAAACATCAATAATTTTAGAATACAATTACAGCAATATAACAGCAAAGCAGTCATAACTGCTGTAGATGTGTTTCAGAACATAACCGTTTTGCAAAACGAATACTTCGCTCTCTCAATTTAAATCCCAGCGTTGTAATTGTAAATTGTGTTGTAGCTGTTTATTTGCAGTGAAGATGGTGTCATCTGCGCAGCGTGGAAGCTTGACGCACTGAAGCCTTCTTTCCACCAGTGGTGCGGGAGTCCCGGAACGCCCACGCAGCACTTAGCCGCTGTTTTTCCGGACGATTTTCTTTCCACCGGCAGAAAAGTGAAAAGTTTCGAACATGTCTCAGAAGCAAAGGGATGCTTTAATTATGCATTACGCTCTAAAAAGTCAAACTACAGTTTAGATTGGGCAAGACAGGAAGTCAAACAAAAAATCAGTGTAAAACATCTGGAAACTTTCAAAATAAAAGCCCTGTGCGGTATGTTGTTTCCTGTCAAACCTCTATGGTCGATGTAACAGAACAGAAAATAAACCAGACCTTTTTGGATGCACGCAGCTGTTTTTCTCCTTGCTTGTTCTTAACTTCTGAAATCATGCGTGGTGTTGCAAGTCTCCTGTGATTTTGAGACTTTGTGGGACCAAAATTTTGCTCCTGGTTGGAAGAGAGCTTGTGGCTAAATTGCTTCTATTACGTCACACGCCGCTTTCACGTCCGGTGGAACGGAGGCTTAAGTGGAACATTTGGAACGCAGATCAAAGTGTTGCCACCTTTAACATCCCAGCAATTTTAGCAAACAGCAGATTGTGTATTTTTACACAAACACATACAGACAATTGAGTTTGACATTTTGCTTGTGAGCAGCTAAACAAGGTGAAAAACCGTAGCGCGGCTAACTAAAAACCAGCTAAACCCAAGCCCATAAGCCCAACCAGCCATTCCTCCCCGTCCCCGCATATTTCTCTCCTCCTGCTCCCTCACATCATCACACAAACATGCACATAGGACCTTGGGGGGTGGACCCCATTTCCGCATTCCTGTGGCAACCTGCCCCCCAATTTTATTTGCACCTTAAACACTTCCACCAACGACATTCCACGCAAACACACACTTAGGGCCTTGGGAGTGAGCACATCCAACGGCAGTTGGCAGGGGGATTTCTCAGCCTCCTCCCGAGTGCCGGTGCCCACTTCCAATTTTAAACTGCACTTAGACACAGAGGGTTGTGGGTGCAAGTGGGGTGGTGCGGTGGCATCCGCTGGCATAGGCCAGACGATGCCCGCACTGCCCGCTCACCACAGCCATGGAATACATCTCATCAACACACAACACTATAATGGAGCAGGCGGAGGGAGACTAGGGGTGTTAGCACACCTCTGTTGTTGCTTGGCATCCTAGGGCTGGAGGCTAGGAGGGAGATCTGGCCGTCTGGTTGGGGTCTGGGGTGGTGGGTTGCTGTGCTCAGCGGTGGGCGAGGGAGCCTGCTCATCAGCACCCCAGCAGAAAGGGTCAAACTCTGGTAACCGGTGATGGTTGTTCCCCATAAGCAGCAGTACCGGGACCAGAGTGAATAGGGTGTGTATGGGGAGCATGAGTGGGTGTCCGGCGTGCATTTTTGTAAGTCTTTGATTGTATGTGTGATATGAGGGAGGGAGTGTGTGACTGTGTTTGTGTATGACTGTATATGTCAGGTAGGGCCTTTGACTCCTCTCTTCTCCTGGGATTTCTTTTGATGATATAAATCTTCGTCTCTCCTCCCCCTGCCACACCTGGTGTGGGGTGTGGTGCCTTGGTCTGCCTGAGTGTTCGTGGCTCCCGGGTCAGGGGGTTTAAGATTTTTGGCGTCTGCCTGGTCAATCCCGGTGGCTGCCTGGTGGGGTCTGGGTCCCCAGCGGGGGTGGTCACCCCTAGGTCCCAGGCTCGGCCGGCTAGGGGGTGGGAGACTGCGGGCGGGCCTGTGGGTTTGCCGCTGACTCTGCCGGCTGCTGGTTGTGGCCCCCCGGGACGACCCTCCGTGCCTCTCGAGGGGGGCGGGGGCCTTTCTGGTTGCAGTCTCCTTGGGGTTCCTGTGTTCTGGGGCAGCGCCTGGATCTCTGGGACATGGAGCTCCCTCCGTCTCCTGCGCATCTTTGGGGGGCAGATCTGTGGTCCCTCACACTCTATTGGACGCTCCTATAGAGAAACCTTACATAAACAAGCGCGTGTACACACACACAGGTGCTCACATGGTGCTCTCAAAAGTATGGGCTTGGGCACGTTAATCACAGGTCTTAAGGCTGTGGTTGGCACTTAATGCACTGTGATTTATTATTGTGTGATTGTTCAGTTAAACAATGTCGATTTTATATTTCATCATCAGGCTGACGCAGTGATAGCTTGATCTTGATGTATTGTTTTGTGTCCCATTTTTTGTATATTCTTTATCTTTCTGCAGGTCTAGAAGCAGACTCTTGTTCATTATTGTTTATTTTTGTGGACCCCCCCACCCCCCACCCCACCCCCACCTTTTGTCTTTTCCTTTCTCTTTCACCTCTGATTCCGTGTCTGGTCGGAATAATAAAACAAACACACACACACAAAAAAAAAAAACAGCAAAACCCCTTAAACCATGGTTATGTACTGATTATAGGTTAAATCACAATAATACTCCCAGCTTTTAAAATTAACACCGTTTATCAGCAAGTCCATCCTGGTTCCATTGAATATGTGCCAGCACTAAAATGAAAGACTTTCCTTTTGGTTGCTTGCAGAGAAGCAACTGATTTATTCACAAAGGGCAAAGAGAGAGCAGCGATCAGAGCTCAGGATTCAGATTTTACACTCCTTTGTTCTCTGGGAGTTTATGTGCATCCATAAATGTTTTTTATTTGATATCAGGTCTCTAAACAAGTCAGTGAGCTCCGTGTTTGCTTAGATAAAGTGTGCTCGGATCCTGCAGTCAGCATTGTTCTGTCACTGTCAGATTTTAATACAATAAACAGTGAAAACTTTACGCACAGTTTGCACGGGTATTGTTGTATTTTTTTATTCTAAAAGCCACCAGAACAGTTAATAACACGCAGCATCGGCACAAATGAAAGCCTCCTCAGGGGGCCATCAGATCAATGGGACGGACCACTCAATCAGGGGTTGATTGAAGGGAATTGCTAAATCGGCAAGATCTGATCTAAAGTGGAGAATTTTTAACTTATGCTTATGAGCTTTTTGTCTTCTAGCTTTTACAAGTGTTTTAATTTCAACTATACGCTTAAAACTGTGGCTAAAATTAGGAGTTTCAAATGCGTTTAACCAAAGCGAGAAAATTCTAGGTTCCAGTTAAACTTGCTGGCTTGTGTTCATGCACCAATCACAGTACTTGTTTTTGATTAGTATCAACTGACCAAATCCTTCAGAACAGCACTGAAGCTCAGTTTAATGAGCGGTTTCTAAGATGAGATTAATCTACCTTTCAAACAGTTTATGTTCCTTCCTTGCAAAAATGTTCGAACTATCCACAAACGTCACTCACAACCAGAAAAACGTACATTCAACCTCAGTGTGAGCCAAACTTTACTTTTCTCAGATAAAAGAGCAGGAAATGTTTCTAACCTCTAAAATAGTCCTCTTCAAACAGTGTCATTCAATAATGATCAATGTTTAACCACAGCATTTAATCCAAACCAATAACGGACTTATGCTTAATGAATTAATGCTTTGTGTGATAAAGGCTTCAG